ATAAACATTCTCCCTCTCCTGATAATAATATTTTACTCTTTGACACTGAATGTGCTACTAGTTTACTTGTTTAATTATGTTTAATTATAGATTCACTAGGATAAATACAATAAAGTTTATCTCTCACTAAATAGAAGATCGACTATGAAATCACAATGTAGCCAAAGAAATACTACTTGATATATATGTTGTGTGTGTATGAGTGTGGGGGTGTGTCTGTATGAGTGGACGTCTGGATGTATGTGCGTGCGTGTGTGTGTGTGTGTGTGTGTGTGTGTGTGTGTGTGTGTGTGTGTGTGTGTGTGTGTGTGTGTGTGTGTGTGTCTGCTCTGTCTTCTCAATCCCCAGTGAGTCGTGGTGGATGGCTATTGGGATGTAAAATAAACATTATTGGGTCATCTTGTGTTTGAAAATATGTAATTTTCAAAATAGATTGGGTTGCAGCCACACAATTAGCTGATTGGATGTTTGTGTTAACAAGCAGGTGAACAGATGTGTAATAAACTGGCTCATGATTGGTGATAGAAACAACACAGATGAAGCACATCCGTTTATTTGAAATATGCATATGCTCTCACCTTTTACAACTACTTTTGTATGAAGTACGCCTTGGCAATAAAAGCACCTACTTGTGACACAGTAGATCTTCCCTGTCAGTTAGCACCATTAAAATGTTAAACATGAAATGCTGAAACAGTGATGACAGTTAGACAGATTATGAAAATGGTATAAGACCCTTATGGCAGTCTGGTGTGCATGTGCATGTCTGTGGCGCCCCATAACTGTCAGAAGAAGTTGGGAAAAGTTTGCACATGCTAACTGTTGAAAGGATGAAAAAAGTGAACAAGACAAAGACTGTTTGTGTTGGAATGTGACTGTAGTTACATTTCAGATTGCCACACACATGTTTTCTGAACCACAGTCATTCATTGAAAGGATTTATGACCCCAGATGAGAAAAAGAGAAATCTCCCACTCATTGTGTTTATGGTCCACTTTAGCTAGGGTCACACAAACACCATTTCTTCTATTTAAAGTAAACCTGAAAGTATTTGAATTTTAAGTCTTGAAAGTTTTTCACATAGAAAAAGATTTTCAGTAAAGTTATTTCCACATTAGGTGCATTTCCATTACCGGAATTACCGCCACACTTATCAGATTTTTCTTCGCTTAGAATTTTGAAAATCTGTAATCAGTTTCATTTCAATTCACAATTATGTGTTACTTTGTGTTGGTCTAATCCCAGTTAAAAACATTTATGTTTGTGGTTTTAAGGTGTCAAAATGAAAAATGCGTTTGCAAGACCTTGTTTATCAACAGGAGAAGGCACTTGAAATATGTACGAAACATTTCAGTTGTATCTGTTTATTAAGGTATGTTTCTCACCTCGTCTTGAGGCAGACATTTTTCTTCAGCAGTGCTGGCAGGAAGTCAAGAGGTCTGGTCTTGTGACCATTTACACTGTAAAACATGATATTGGAATAGTTTACAGTGGACAACCAAATTATTTATTTTAAAACCTGAGATAACGGCCCAAAGCCAACACAACACAACATATTCTAGAAGTAAAGAAAATGTCTGGCAACAATTGCTGTTGGTGGGATTACACAGGTTTGTGAAATTGTGTGTGCGAGTTTTAAATATGGAACCAACAGCTAGCCTGCAACGTTGTTTTTATTCCACACAATGTTTCATCATATTTTCTTTCCTTGTCTTCATTGTTGCTAATACATCATTGCTGTTGGAGGACAAATAGTGGAAATCAGCCATGGCTGTAATTGGATGTACTGTATTGGACAAAATGTTCATTAATGCACAATGTCTCTAGCCTGGCAAGCCAGACTAAATAAATATACTATTACATAACTAAATAAATATATTATTAAGTCTGGCAATGCTCCATTGATGGCTCTCGGTCATGAGGTGGGTTCAACCATTGTCTTTCAAACGGTTTCCGCATGCTACTGGACAATGAACAACGTGACGTACTCACAGCAACGGATGTCAGTAAACGAGGTGGTCTGTTGTTGAAGAAGGCAAAAATACATCCTTTTTTCTAAAAAATAACTTAAATATATCTATCTGCTCCTGACTCTAATCAAGCCAGAGTTCAAATTGTCCAAAAGCTGTTTTAAACAAGCTGTCGCCATCTTGTTCCACTCTGTTGCACCATCCCGCCCACCAGACGAATGGAGCGCTATGACTGGCCCACCATTATGGACCAGTCACAGCTCTCTATGTGTTTGAAACCCCTCTAGAGAGCTGTGATTGGCCAGCCAGAATGCTGCTAGGGGCTGCATAGGTTTTAATGGAGTGTTCCTAGACCAAACTTTGCAAAGCAATAATTTGGTCTAATTCACTAAGCTGCATTATCTCTCTTGAGCAATATCAATTGATCAATTGATCATAACAAGCTGGTTCTTTGTGTCCTGAATCCACGAGCCACATTTTCCTCTTTTCTTTTGATTTGGGGGATTTCACTGATGAATACCAACCCATGACCCTGGTTCTCATGTTAGTTACCAAGATTTATTTGAAAGTTTGTCCAACTTTTGAAATACCAAAGAAATACATCAGTTGCCATTGACACAAGAGGTGTAATTTTATATCTCTGAGGTGGAACCACAGTTAGTTGCACTTCACTTTGAACCTGTTTGCAGTTATTCCTTGTCTATAATTGACTTCCGCAACACAAGTTAGAGCTTGTGTGTATAGATTTCCCTTCATCGGTTTGTCTTTGTTAGTTGTTGCCTCATGTTGTTTACAGTTTATCTGGAATTGATATACTAATATTTTTTAGTTCTGCCCTTTGTTCTCACCACACCGGGTCTCCTTGCTATTGGTTTATCTTAGTTACATTTTCCAGTTTCCATCTGACTATCTTCATTCTTGGGTTCCCCTTTCACTAACCTGACAGTTGGCTTAAGAGTTTAACTGTCATCCATCCATCCATCCATCCATCCATCCATCCATCCTTTGATCAAGGTAAGACATGTCTAGGTCCAAGACAGAAACTCGTGTTCTTCTACCCATGTGACACTCTCCAGCACCTCCTGGATTATCTCAAAGGAGTTCTAAGGCTGCCCAATTGGAATGACTGGAAAACCTCTAGACCCGGGGCACTCAATTCCACTCCTGGAGGGCCAGTATCCCACAGGTTTTAGTGGTTTCTCTGCTCCAACACATTTGGTTCAGTGGGTGTCATGGTCTGTGTGAGTCTCTCTGTGTCTGCTTGGTTGTTTTCCCTGGGCTCTTAATTACAGGTGGGCGTGTCTGGGAGCTCTCAGCTGCAGTTGATTTCACATCAGCCTGGCCAGGGAGATAAAAGCAGCAGGGAGACACTCATTCAACGCTGGATGATTACTCTAACTGGTACCAAAACTTGTGTTGACTCAAGCCTTGTCATATGTTATTGACCACAGCTTTGCCTCCACGGTCTTATTACCTGTTGCCTCTCCTTGTCTCCAGGATCTCCAATCTCCACCACCACGGCCTTCAGACAAGCCTTCACGTCCCACTGTCTGCCCCCCTGGCCTGCTGCTCTCAGCTGCCTGCCTGCCTCTCTCACTCACCTGGTTCTGGACCTCACTGCAACCCCAAGCCTTGTCCATGCTCAGCTCCCTACGTCTCCTCGACATTTCCAGCAGCTCACACAGATCTGACCTCGACTCGCCCTCTCAGGATCCATATCTTCACTGGGAAACCGTAAGCCCCAACTACTCACCTCAAACGAGGTCCAATCTCCGCAGTCTGCATATTCTAACACCTCTCTGTATTCTAGACCCACATTCGACGGATCCCTTCCAGCACGTTCTCCTGCAGCGCCTTTTGTTCCACACTCTTTAATAAAACTATTTTGTTCTTACTGAATTTGACTCTTGGGTTGATTCTGCATGTCGTGGGTTAGATATATCCCTCGCACCATGACAGTGGGTGAATCAACTGTGCAGCAGCACATCAGGCTCTGCAGAAGCATGTTAATCACCTGCTAACTGAAATCAGGTGTGTTGAAACGGTTAAAACCAAAATGTGCTGGACTGGCCCTCTTGAAAGGAGTTAGGGATCACGTGGCAGGGGTGAGGAGTGAGCACCACCTCTTGTCAGCCATGTGGACCTCAAGGGATAAGCCATCAAGCCTGCTCAACGGCCACCTTTCCTGGAGGGGTCACCCGATAGGACAGTGGGAGGGACAGGAGGCATCATACACAGATGCACAAACTAACTCCGCTTATTCTTTTAAATGAGAAGGAGCAGCAACTGCTTCATACTTTTCGGTGATAGAGCACCTCACCTTGGCTCTAGGGCCTCGTTCACGTCAAATGCAGAACAGATGCGGTTTCCAGATAGATCACTAATTCCAGTCAGAGCATTCACCCCATCTGCAGAGTGGGTTGGATCCAAATAAAGATCACTTTAAATTTTTTCTGAAGCTTTCTCCCCTTAGGTATCTGTCGACTCAAACTTAGACTCTTGCTTGGCTCCTCATTGCAGTTCGATTATGGATACATTTTTACCTGAGGCATAAGGCTCAAAACCTGGCAGAGCCTCTGACTGGAAGTAATTCTACCGGAAGAATTCAATGAAAATGCCAAGAACTCCTGAAATCACTTGATGTGAGAGGGAGCATATCGACTACAGAACAATTAGAACTCATGAACATAATACCTGTATGTCCCCTTTAAAAAGCCTAATAACAGATTTTTACCACAAACAAAAAGAATGCAGACAGACCAAAAATCTGCCAAGTGAAAACTTTGAATAGAGACTTTTGATTAAGCGATAAGCGTTTTTTGCCCGGTATTTTTATGAATCCTAAATTTAAATATTTAATTAGACAAAGAAATATATCAGTGAAGTCTATGCCGGGAGATTCACGACTTTATTCTTGCCTAAACTATGTGTCACCTTCCAATAACAAAGTATAAGGAGCAGTTTCGCCCATTTGTTTAGCTTGTGTGTGTGTGTGTGTGTGTGTGTGTGTGTGTGTGTGTGTCCACAAACTCTGTCTGAACCTGCTACGGGAGACGCCTCGAACCGCCATGGACAACATCACGCCTATACGCTTTTATTCTGAGTGGAATGAGTCATCAGGAGGATCTGCGGCGACACCGCTCCTCACATCGCGCACTTTTTGCGTCGTTTAATTATTTATTTTTCAGCGGCACCTTTACGTCTTCTCCTTTTTGTTTATAGATTTCCTTTTTCTAGTCTTGTGTCTGTCGGATATTTTCTACTGATGGCCAATACATTCCGATCGACTCATGTATTGATGCTGCTCGTCATGGCCTGGGTGAAGAGCGCACGCGGCAGTGAGCTCACAGGTTGGTTTTTGAATCATTTAATGTTTTATTTTTATTTTTGTGTAAAAACTCAGATGATCCCTGCAGAACGTCACACAGACCAGACAGCCCCCAAAACAAGGCCACTTTGAAATATTACACTAATAACTATTCAAGTAAATTTTGAATAAAAATAAAACAACTGTCATTGTCTATTATATTTTATTATGTGATTAAACACGATTAATATGATTATGACAAAAACAAAAAATTCGGATGAATACAGTGGGGTTCCCCACTCTTCAATCTTGGAACCCCAATAAACTGGCAGGATAGGCAAACAGCAGGTTTTTGAGGAACGTACAAATCCTGTTAGAGTAGTGGAGCTCTTAGAAACTTTAAAACATTCATTTAGAATAAAATATATTTGGTCAAAAATGGTAAATGATTTTCACTTGATGATGTTCCTTGAGAATAAAACACTTGACTTATGTCAGACCTGGTGTGCAGTGGCACCCCCAGAAATGTTTTGTGGCCAGGGGCCAGAGAAAATCTGGGGTGGCACACCAAATTTATCCTCGTGGTAAATCTGGGAAAATTTAGCCTGTAGTAATGCAATAAATGCTCCTTTATTCATTTTAATTTAAACACTAAACAACAGCATTATTATGACTTATTAAAGAATGGTCTTTCCTGGGAATGGACAGTGGGGTGGCCATGACCACACCTTAGGGGCACCACTGCTGTGTGTACATGTGCTCCTTTTTTGAACATTTGTATTTCAACAATATAAGATGTTTACAGTGTTTTTGTGATATTTTTGTGTAGCCACTCTAAGATAACAAAAAGAAAAAAAAATATTTTGTAGAAAATGACGTAACCGTGGACCCCCCCGAGAACCTCCGTGTTTCTGACTCTGGTCGCCTTGGATACCTGGATATCACCTGGAACCCACCAGCCAGCCTGATGACCATGACAATGTGCAACATACAGTATCAGCTGGAATACCTGGACACATTCAAAAACACATGGGCTGTGAGTGTTTACCATCAGTGTGAACGAACTTCCATTAGAGATAAGACAGGCCAGTTCCTTACCTGTTTTTAAGTCACTCTTGAAAACCCACCTCTTTACCCTGGCTTTTGATGCCTTGTGAGATGTTGGTTTCTATTTTTTATTTTATTTTAGCTGTTTTAGGTGATTCAATGTGGTTTTATCAAGTTTTTATTTTTTAATATAGGGCTATTTTAATTTTATGTATCATGTGTTTTATTTATTTATTTATCTTTGCTTTTTTCTGTTTAGTCAATTGTTTTAATGTATTTTCTGTACAGCACTTTGTTCCTGTGCTGGGTCTTTTAAAGTGCTTTATAAATAAAACTGGATTGGATTGGATCAGTGTTTACACACACAGTGGTGGATTTAGCTATTTGGGGGCCCAAGGTGAACACAGACATGGGGACCCCTTGAGATGGCTGACAATCTACTCAAGTGTGAAAGCAGAGCTTTAGTTTTCTTGTCACATCAAGTCTGGCGAGCAGTATCTGATTTAGGTGATGGGGTCTTTGTGTTTATGTTTATGTTTATTCATTTGGCAGACGCTTTTATCCAAAGCAACTTACAATTTATAACCTATAGGGCATGTTGTGATCTTGGTCTTGCGTCTGCAGGTCCTCAGGACAAGTGGGAGGAGCTACAGTGCAGAGTTTGACCTGACTAAAGAAGTTAGAGTGAGAGCCTACACCTTGCTGAATGGACTCTGCACCAACAACGTGCTGCAAAGGAGTGAAAACTACACTGCGCTGATTCAGAAACCTGCCAGCTCAGGTGGGTATTTATAGATTTTGGATAAATTTAATAAAAGGTGAGGTGATATTCAACCCTCTCCATTGGTTTGGTTTGCCCTCATCCAGGACTTACAGGGACAGAAGCGAAGGATTTTGAGTGTGTGTACCACAACATGGAATGGGTAGAGTGCAGCTGGACAAGAAGCCCTCAAACGCCACTGGATGCACAGCAAAATCTGTATTTCTGGTACGTCCCACAGAAATAAAGCAGGAGACTTGGGTCTTCCAAAAGTGGTCCTGAACAAAACATCTCAGCTAACATTTCTGTTTCTAACAATTTTTTTAAAGAAGAAAAAAAAGCTTTTGGAACGCTGATGAAACTGCACACACTTCCACTCTTTGTTTTTCTGATCTTTCCTTCTGCCATCCATCACTCACTGTGTTACACCTCATTACTGAAGGCTCGTAAAACTCCCAACAAAACCTGAATGAATGGGTTTGTAATTTGTTTCCTCTCCAGGTACAAACCCCTGGAGCAGGCTGCTGAATGCCCAGAGTACATCCTGTCAGGTGGAATCAGATCCAGCTGCAGATTCACAGGAAATTCTCTCCCAGAGTTCTCTGATATCATCTTCTGTGTGAATGGCTCCTCTCCTGAAGGACCTCTGAAGGCCACGTTTACCTCCCTGCAGATCCAAAACCACTGTAAAGACTTTTTTCTTTAGCCCTGTGGGGGGTACAGCATCACCAACAGGGCACTCTTAATGTTTTGATTTCATTGTAATGCTGTTTTCCCCTCCAGATTGAATTTCTTTAATCATCATTTTAATTCATGGTTTTAATGTTCTTGCAGTGAAACCTGCGACCACAGATAAGCTGCATCTGCAGACAAGTTCAGACGAGCAGCTGGAGCTGCTCTGGGAGAATCCGGTGGAAAGGCTTCCTGGATACTGTCTGGAATGGGAAGTGGAACATGCTCAGGACAAACCTGATGGAACAACCATGCTGGTATGATTTATCTGATGTGTGGTTTTTGCCAAACTTCACCAAAACACTTCACTCAGTATATCTAACTTTTCTGATGCTGCAGTTTTGCTGCAGGAGTTTGATGAGGAGCAAATGTGAATGTAACAGCAAGAGTAGGAAAGAAAATCAGTGGCAGAGCCTGATACAGGCATGAGCAATCAATTTTAGATCAAGTCAAACAGCATTTAAAGTCCTGCTCCTTGTCTGTTCTCAGGTAATAAATATCCCAACTAGAACTAGAATGCTGCATGACCTGAGATCAGAAGATATCACACTTATTCTATTAGTTTGCCTATAAGGGATACTTTTTGTGTTTTCAAGTAATTTTCTTGAGCCAGTATGTGCTAAAATGACCCTTTACTGGGTTAATGAAAGGCCACCCAGCCCCTATCGGATCTCTGTGGCCAGAATATTCCACTTGCAAATTTCGGACCGGCAGACTACTCAGCTAGGAATTTTGAGCTGACATATCTGGCGCTGCTGTCTGCTTCCAGCACATTTTCTGCAAGTTTCAGATCATGAAAACAGCTGGTTTGTTTAATTCAGTGATGACTCACTCCTGTAGACACAAATAAAGGCTGAGGAGACATTTCGGCTGTTAGATTAAGGTGTTAAAAAGATGACTGCACAGCGAAGAGATAAGTTTTAATTTTGGTTCTACAAACGGACACTAGGGGGTGCTAAAAGCAAGACGAAAACAGCCTAGTTCCCCCTTAAGTCTAATTTTCTACCTTTAATTCATTTAAAAGGAGAAAGATTTTTAATTTTCCTTCCAGTAGTTAGGTTTCACAGCAGCATTCGTCTGCACATTTGGCTCCATTGAGTTTGTGCTCAAAATACATGAGATGATTGTGTCTGATCTACTCTGCTCTTACATTTTGTTCTGCTTTTGGTTTTCCCTTTGAGACTAGATTAAACCTAAGCTCTGAAGAAAGTAGACTGCAACAGCTGCATTTCAGCCAATATGACGTTTTGTTGTCTAACAGGTTCAAATGGAAACTCTTTAATCTCTCTTATGAGTCATCTACTGGAGTGGAAGAATCAGGGATCAAGATTTGTTTCTGTGGAGGACAAAACAGTCACAGACTAGAGAACACAGGAGCAATTATATTATAAAGAAATGTTAGTTCACATAATAATGCAAAGACAAAATAATCTACAGGCCACTAAACATTAGAAAGGGGGAAACCAAGAAAATCACCAGTTTACTCGATTTACTGTTAATTATCACAATTATTGTGCCCAAATCAAGATAACAAGTTACTCCGTTTAAATGATGGTAAACCACCATCACAGTAACTGTAATTAAAATCAAAAGATTTTGTTTTCAACTTAAATAGAATATGTGCAGTATTTACTGTTGGTCTCTGGAAATATCCATCAAAATGTTGTCAAAAATGAATTAAATGATGCCAAGCTGTTGAAAAATATTGGCAGCTTCATAACATATAACCATAAAAATCGGGTCTAAAACTCATGTGAGCGGGTATAAGTCTGTGGGTGATGCCATATTTCCTTCTACGGGAGCCCATGAGGACAAAACACTGATTTGTAACAAACAGTTACAAAACTTTTCATAAACATTGATGTTTTATACTCGTTGCCAGTGATGAAAGGGAGTCTGATGTGCTTGTCATTTGGCTGCAGATTGCTCTCAGGGATTTTTGACCCTAATGGCCATCCTTTGGTAAGGTCTTACTCAAACACAAAAAAAAAAACACTTGCTTGCAATGATTTAGGTATGTACTGCCCCCATCACCAGGAAAAACACACATCGTTACTTTAAGGTTTTATAAATAACAAATTACAAAATGCTGGAGAGACAGCTGAATTTCCAAAGGAACCGATTATTTTCATAGAATTTTTTCCAGAAAAGTCGTTTTTGGCTCAAATTCACCTTGTTTGAGGGGGGGGGGCGTCAGAAGCAGATTTTTCTGATTGTTGGTCAGCATTGTTGACTGACAGTTTAAAATATTCTGATAAGAGTCAGATCAATTCAGACTGAATATTCACAGCTTTAGTCTTGTATTAAACCTGTTTACACATCTCTACCCATATGTATAAGATAATATATCCTACATTCATACTATTAAATAAAAATAAAACAGTGCTGACACATAAACAGCTTTTTTATAATTAAAACGTCCACGTTGGCCGGTAATCACCTGGATCTGGCTAATGGGGAGTCTAAGTCTCCTCCCCTTCTGGCTGGCTCATGGGTCCCCGATCAAAAAGAAAAAAAATAAACAGGATGTTAGTGAACTGGGCTATAAAAGTTATTTCCTTGTCTTTCTGGGCTTTGCCTTATGCCCAGAGTCACATCTGTCAGACATTTCTAATCCTAGAGTTTCACCGTCTATCAGATTTTCTATCAGAAGCTAATGCAGGAGATAGCGGTAGGAGACTGTGTTCATGTTCAGGCTGCATGAAACACTCAGTGACACGTTAGAATCAGAAATAATCATTAAATGTATTTTTTTCAGTGAAGTTGACCTATATATTGACCTAAAACAGATTTGTTAGATTTCCAAAATGTGTCCCCCCCAATATTATACTCGTTCCTACGCCCTTGATTGTGTCCAAATATTTCTGTAACTTCTTTTACAGGGAGTCATTCACACCACACAGACCACTCTGAAGCTGCTTCCCACCCTCAGCGAGGACAGAAACTGCTACAAGGTTCGCTCCAAACTGAGCAAATACTGTGCTGATAAAAGCCTTTGGAGTGACTGGAGTCATGAAAAATGCTACCCAGGTAATGGAGCGTTACATAGCTGCAGAACCTCCATCAAATCCAGGTTTTCTCAAAATCTGAGTCACACGTTTGAACAAACTCAGATTGTGGATGCTTAAATGCCTCAATCACTCTTTAACCCCTGGATGCACACACAAAAAAATATGAGTTGTTTTAAGTCAAAGAAACATTAAAACCCCTCATGCTCACCAGCACAGCAACTCCTGTCTTTGCCCAGTTGATTAGGCTCAACATCCTGACAGATTTGTTTTTGTTTTACTTTGATTTATTGATTGTTCTGACCCGACTCGTATGGCCGCAGCAGAGAAGGGAAACTGAACATGATTCTGGATTTCAAGAACATTTTTGATCAAAAGAGCCATATAAAAAAGCTCAAACCAACAAACAGAGGTGGTGTGCTCGAAGCTGCACCAAACAGGTGTTTGTCTGCACTCACAGGTGTAGCCAGTCAGAGACCTGTACGACAGCCTGGCCAATGAAAAGGCAGAGGGGCGTAACACTGCTGCACATTGCAACATTTTCTGCAAGGACAAACATGTTTTTTATGGACGAAAACTGGGAAATCAGTCTGATGATCCTACAGAATGACATAATTTTAGACCCCGCAGGGCACCATAGGTAAATAAAATCTGAGGTCATAAAAACGTGGAAACTATGGTTTAGTAAGCTACGCTGCAGTAGCTGTGGAGTAAAACCAGTGTTTGATTTTCTGCAGTAGAGACTGGAGATGATGGTTGAAGATTTATTCAGACATGTGTGGAGCTGAAATGAAGAAATTGTCTAACCATTCAACGTTCCCGTGTCCACACTAAAAGCTGTCGCCTGTTTAGGAACAGAATAGTGTCTTTGACTTGTGCGTTGATTCACCAAAAAGAGGGAACAAACACCATATCACATTTGTAGTGCTTCCTAGTGGCTAGTATATGCTAAAGTTTTGTAGTCTTTGGACCTCCACACATGCACGTATACACTGTGTCCAAATTCAGAGGTTGTGTGCAGACCAGTGACGTCACAGCGCCGCAACGAAGACTGTCCAAACTCAAAGAGTGCTCAGAATGCGATCCTGAAATCTGTTCTTCTTTTACCCGATTTTGAGAACAGGTGCGGTGTTGTCTCCTCCCCTCTATAAATCCTGAGATGCACTGCAGGAGATCACACAGTAGCACGTGCATGGTTTTCTGTGCCCCAAATCACTCGTGTCATGAAACGAACTTAAGTTGGCATGAAATTGGTGAGAGCTTTTAAACTTTAAATAAGGCAAATAATACTATACCAGCGTATCGCTGTATCTCAACCTGACATACAAAATATGCCGGCGCCGGCGGTACATCTGCAGTAGCTCTTCGAACTTTAACAAACCAAGAAAAAAGTTTAAAACATGTACAAGCTCCATTTCTGCAGCTTCTTCTTAGTGCGTTAGCCGAAGTAGGGGCGGGGCTATTATTTAAGGTTAGACTGTCCAAATTCACAGCTGTTAACATCTAACCGGTCATGGGTGAACACGTTCTCCTGAGACCAATGAAGACAGGTACTCGTGAGCGTACAACCCCTGAATGCAACTGATGTCCAGTTTGCAGGAGCTGCCATGCTTTATTTCTCAAACCAGAGTCTGTGCATTCAGCGTGTGGGCCTGAAAATAGTGTCTATACAAGCAGCATGGCAAAATTGACAAGAGTCAACAGAGGTCAACAGCTGAAGCACAATCCGAGGTGTATTTTTATCTCCTGGTCATGAAAATGTTAAGGAAGAGAAACTTGTTCTGGATCCAACAGTGGCGTGGCCAGATTTTTTAAAATGGGGTGGCCCAGGTGGTGCACTTCTTTGTGCATGGGTGACACCAATGGTTATGCTTTTTCTTTTTTCCCCAAGCTTTTAGTGGAAAAGTAAACTGAAATTCAGTGGGGTGGCCAGTCAGATTCCAAGGGTGGCATGTGCTACCCCAGGCCACCCCCTGGACACGTCCCTGGGATCCAACTACTAGGGAGGTGCAGAAAATGGTGGAAAGATGTTTTTTTTTTGTTCTTGGCAAAAACAAAACAAAAACAATGGCAAAATGTTCATTTAAAGCTTGAAACTGATTCTATCTGTTTGTGTTTCAGCTGTTGAGGAAGTTGCACCCAAGCCGAAATCGGACCTGCTACCAGTTTACGTCTGCATCGCTGCTGCCTTCGTCCTCTTGCTGGCGGTGCCTCTGTGTGTGTGGGCTTCAACAAAAATGTTAGTAGAAAAACAACAACACATTAATTCTGTCTATGTTATAAACAACAAAGCATAACCCACTTTGTTTCTTCACAACAGGAATAAATCAAGAGAAGAGAAGAAGTTGAAGTCTCTGATCACCAATCTGGTTGCAAAGACCTTCAGGGGACAGAATGTGTGCAACGACACAATGATCTGAGACCGTGTGTGTGTGTGTGTGTGTGTGTGTGTGTGTGTGTGTGTGTGTGTGTGTGTGTGTGTGTCCTCCAGTTATGCACTGCCACTAGCTTGCCCCTCAGGTTTTCCCTGAGACTATAACCACACTGAGCAACATGGTACATGTGCAGTAACCTATACCAGCCTATAATAACCAGCTGCTTTTACATATTTACTAATATTTACAGTTCTAATGGATTCATGTAGCTTGAACCCTTGCCAGAACTGGAGGAGTGTTTAGGAAAAGGGTTCAACATGGTGTTTACTTTTCGACACATACTGGTTTCAGATAATAACCATTTAGTTTTACACATTTTAGTTTTTTAACCACAGGGAAAATGATTTACAGTAACTTGCCAGAGTTTTGTTTCATTTTAAACGTTGTTGAGTATTAATAATATTATATACATCTATTTTATTTAATCCTGTTATTTAATATATGAAGTTGTGCCTCAGTTCTTGCCAGGGCGTTTTAAGCCCCCCCCCCCCCCCCCCCCCCCCCCAAAAAAAAAAAAGAAAATGCAAAGTGAGGGTTAATGCATGAAAAATGTGTGTTGCACTCTTCAAACCAGTGAAGTTTTCACTCACCGTGTCTTTAATAATGTACTGAACGGCAGCAGCAGAAGAGATGAGTGAGTCGGTGATTTAATGATGTAATAAAGTTGTTGCCACTTTTTGTCCTAGGATTACATTTCTACCAGAGCAGCTGTTTGTGCAACACAAGCTCAAACCCGTCATTTTCAGTAAAGTTGTTCATTTTCTCGACCCGTCTTTTACAGCCTGTGCAAAGACCTAGTCTGGACGTCCTACAGACGTGGTCGGGATCGACAGACTCAATATAGACATGATCTGCACGTCCATGTGACATTGACTGTTTGCAGGGTATTTATGATCTATTATACTGTTACCAATAAAAATATTAAATGATGACAGTGCATTGTAAGATGCAAAAGAACATGACATGCTTTAGTAAGATTCATCACGTCTAGCTTTTCTATTGTTTATTTTGTTCAGAGAGATTCTTACTTTGACACCTGCTGGGATTTTGTACCGGCTGTTTTCTCCAGCTCAGAATTTCATGTGAAACACTGAACCTGCAGAAATTTTAAAATGCTTTTGGATGGTTATTTGAAAGTCAAAATAAATAAATAAATCATTGCAACAGTACTTTCCTCTGTTTAAATGCTGCTGTGCAGAAGAAACAGCTCAGAGAATGCAAAGGGTGCAAAATGCAATTTTCCATTGATTTGGCTTGTTAGCCACTGTTACTGGAAGGGTTTTATGGTGATATGGGAAGAAAACTACCGTATGTTTCAAATACATTTAAGGAAATACATTTTTATTTAGGAATTTATGTAAAGAAACCCCATAATTTCTGGGGCATTAGAGCTGCTATAGCAAATCTGCAAACAAGCTAGGTTTTGAATGCAAACATTCACCCCTCCCCTCGGATGTCTTCCCTGAGACGCTTCTGCCGGAACCAGAAACCCACATTGCCAGAGGAAACGAGAGAGCGTTAAACACCAACATCCAAACATCTTTTACGTTGTCCGTGGCTTCAAATGGTGTTTTTCTTTTTGGAACTCTGGTAGTCTGTCCTAATTTGTTTTCCACATTTGCAATAAGTTGCTTTAAACAGAATTTCGGTAAGAATTAGAAATTGTTTAACTAAACAACGACAAGCCACACGTTTGAGCTCATGTACCAATCCTTCTGATGAGGGACTACTCCTCTGATGTGCAGAAAATATATGAATGTTTATTTTTGTAACCTATTTCAAATAAAGTATTTTGCTAAAACCACTGAGTTGTAATTTTTCTGATGAAATGGTACCAAAAGGAGTGTGTTCTGTCCTAAAAGAAGGGGCTGAAACCTGCGCTGATTAAATCGTCTCTTTGCAAAAGGCAAAGCACTATGATTGACACAACCTTCTCTCACTAGATGTCTTCTCGTGGGACCAGATCACAGAAAAAGATTTCATTCTCAGCCAGTTCTGGGGTTGTCAGTTTTTCTCCTTTCAAAAAAAAAAAAACAAAGAAGGGATGTAGTTACTGTTTATGCTCAATGAACCTGTGAGGATCCATCCATCCATCCATCCATTTTCAACCACTTATCTGGAGTTGGGTGGCGGGGGCTGCAGCCTAAGCTGAGACGCCAAGACTTCCTTCTCCCCAGCTTTGGCCAGCTCTTCCAGGGGAATCCCAAGGTGTTCCCTGGCCAGCCGAGAGACATATTCCCTCCAGCATGTCCTTGGTCTTCCCTGGGGTATATGCCAGTTGGATGTGCCTGGAAAACCTCACCAGGGAGGCATCTAGGAGGCATCTTGACCAGATGCCCGAGCCACCTCAACTGGCTCCTCTCGACATAGAGGAGCAGGGGGTTCACTCCGAGCCTCTCCCACATGACCAAGCTTCTCACCCTATCACTAAGGAAGAGCCCAGACACCCTGCGGAGAAAACTCCTTTAGGCCGCAATCTCGTTCTTTAGGTCACCATCAAAAGCTCATGACCACAGGTGAGGGTAGAAACGTAGATCTATCGGTTAATCGAGAGCTTTGCCTTCCAACTCAGCTCTTCCTTCACCACTACAGACCGGTACAACGTCCGCATCACTGCAGACGCAGCACCAATCCGCCTATTGATCCCACGCTCCATCTTTTCCCCACTCGTGAACAACACCCCGAGATACTTAAACTCCTCCACTTGAGGCAGGACCTCATCCCTGACCTGGAGAAGGCATTCTACTCTTTTCCGATCAATGCAAAAATGGTCGGTGTAAATTGAGGCTTAAGGTGGTATGACACTATAAAACAATTGAAATCAGGTGTTGAAACAGAGTTCAAACTAAAATACTGGACCCCCGAGACCCGGAAATGAATAGCTCTTCCTTACACCCCCAATCACACACACGTTGTACTTCAGTTTAAGTGATGAATAATTATGTACGTTTTGACTATGTCCCATAAATTGAAATGTATAGGGCTTGAGATCACACGTGATTACGCGTAGCATTCTGGCTTGTGTGCAGACATGTTGATGGCCTTGCGAGTGTACACATACTGTAAAAAACAGTACATCACAGAGAAGAAGAGGAGCTGGGTAAAAGGAAGTGTTAATCAACATATTAAAATCCCAAAAAGTGGAACATACAGTCATATGTTAAATAAAGACGCTGGGGACTGGTATGTGGATAAAATCAGCATTATAAACTGTTCAGACCCATGTAAAAGACCCAAGACTGGAGACCCGATGACAACTTGTTGCCACCGCAGCTCTGCATATTGGACATTTTCGGCCTTCTTGTTGGATGCAAACGTCCGGATGAGAGGAAAACGTTGAATTTTCTTGTTTTTTCTAGTTAAACAATCAAAATCATCCTCCCACAGAAGAAGTGTAGCTGGAGAAGTTGTGTTGTGTGTCGTCGTGCCTGCATCATCTTAACGGTATGTGTGTGTAGCCTATGTGTGTGTTGTGTGTGCATGTCACGGTTGAAGGAAAGAAACCATATACAGTGCTGCCCATAATTATTCATACCCCTTTGGCTAATTTTGACTTAAAGTTACTTTTATAGTTATTTTTTGATGGGAAATGACATGGGTGTCTCCCAGCAGATAAGATGATGCACAAGAGGGATTATTGTGCCCAAAAAGTATTTTCTCTGCTTTTATTTGAGCAAAATATGTCATGTCTGCTGTTTTTCACCTTGATTTAAACAGCTGTTCCCAACTAATCTGGGTAATTAAGGTGTTTAGAACAACTTGGACTATTTGGAATGGTTTATAACTTTGGGCACGAAGGGTATTGGGCACTCTTATCTTTTGGGAGACGCTCATGTCATTTACTGTCAAACAATCACTTGCCGGTTGAATGAAAGTAACCAAGTCAAAAATTGCCAGGGGTATGACTAATTATGGGCATCACTGTATTAAAAAAGTACTCCCTCTGTATGAAAATACTTTTGAATGTGATGTTTGGTTGCCTTAAAGCTGCGATCCAAGACTTTCTTATGCTAGTTATCTGGTCTCGTGTTTGTGCTTCCAAGCAGGAAAACGGTTGTGTAGATTAAACTAATCCACAAGAATGAGGCTGAGTGTGCCGCGCTGTTATCAGTAGTAACAAGCAACAAGTGGACTCTACCTTTATTAGAAGTAGAATTATTTAATACTATTAATCAGAGCTGCAGCTGAAGCCACAGCTTACCCTGATGTGTAGGGGTTTAGCGTTCAGTTTTGTGACAGATGAGACAGTTTAAGGGTCGGCTCTTTGCTTAGAGGGTGTGAACTACAAGATTGATGGGGATAAAGAATCTAAAGGTACACTGTTTTAGTCGATGCATATTAAACAATAGTAGATTGCTATGAGAAAATTGGCGTTTACTTCATAGCTTCAACTGAAAAACATGACATAAGATAAAGTGTAACGTTTGAGCCAGGAGGAGGTCAGGACCCAAGATGCAGAAACCCAGAACGACACAAGGCAGGAGCGTAGTAAAACGTAAAATCCTTTTATTAGGAGTCAATGTCCAAAAATCCAAGAAGGGACAGGAAGCCAAGCCTAAAGTCAGTAACCCGACTGACAAAAACAAAAAGCTCTTTGATGAGCAAAACCTAGAGGAGGAACAGAACAACACTGACAACGACAATGGACCGACACACACTGAGGCCCTGTCCACACGTAGCCGGGGATCTGCCAAAACGTAGAAAAATATCTACGTCATCCACACGAAAACGGAGTTTTTTCACACGAAAACGGATCTTTTTTAAAACTCCGGCCAAAGTGAAGATCTGCGTTTTCTCCGTTTTGGGTGTCTGCGTGTGGACAGACAAAACCGGAGTTTTAAGGTCCGCAACGTCACTTTCCGCGACAAAAAAATGCTGACATCACGTGTGCGACCTGTGTTTACACTAGCCGACAGCATGGATGCCCTCAGAGCTGCGCTCGCTTTATCAATTGTCCAAGCGCTTTTTGCTTGTTTGTTTTTGCAAGCGGAATTACTGCTCCTTGCGGAAGACCACAGACGAAGGACGAGGTTAAGAACGGGGGAAGTACTGCTGCCTACAGGTCTGGCATGTCCGTAACAACGTATTTATCCAGGTATGTGTGGACGGAGTTTCTGTTTAAAACGAGGTGGTGTGGATGCAAGTTTTTGGAGGGGCGGATATTCGTTTTTAAAAAAAACCCGGCTACATGTGGACCAGGCCTGAGAGACACAGACAGGGTCATATACACAGGGGCTGGGTGATTAGGAGACGAGGAGCAGGTGCGTGGGGAATAGGGCACAGGTGAAACTAATGAACTGAGGGAAGAAGCAGAAATAAGCAGGGGAGAAAACTATATCTTAAACATGTAAACCAAAGCTAAGAAAACAACCCAAACTAAACTTAAACCCTGTAGAACAAAGGCACAGGGGAATCTAAAAATAAGTAAACAAATGATCTAAGTGGGGAGCGAGAACTGAGAAGAGACTAGGAGAACATGAGGGGGACCTGGAGGGAGAACAGGAGAGGACTGGGGACCAAAGGGACACAGAACATGACATAAAGCTTCTGAGGGGTGAAGACATAAATGCGTACCTGTGTTGATAACGGGACACCCGTTGACAGAATCTTGGCAGATTGGAGCCACAACGATGACCCGCTTTGTGGTGCCAGAGCAGCACAAGAATTTTGTGGAACAAGGTAATGAACGGATGCTGCACAGTGGCGCAGTGGTTAGAGCTGTTGCCTTGCAGCAAGAAGGTCCTGGGTTCGCTTCCCGGCCTGGGATCTTTCTGCAAAGGAGTTTGCATGTTCTCCCTGTGCATGCGTGGGTTCTCTCCGGGTACTCTGGCTTCCTCCCACAGTCCAAAAACATGACTGTTAGGTTGATTGGTCTGTCTAAATTGTCCCTAGGTGTGTGTGTGCATGATTGTTCGTCCTGTGTGTCTCTGTGTTGCCCTGCGATGGACTGGCTCTCTGCCCAGGGTGTACCCCGCCTGATGGCCCATTGACCACTGGAGGTGGGCACCAGCCACCCCCCCCCCCCCCCCGCGCGCGCACGCGCGCGACCCTACGTAGACAAAGCGGGTTCAGAAAATGGATGGATGAAGGTAATGAACTGTCTTTCAGCTGGTGCTTGTCTCCAATCCAAAAGAACTGGTTTAGAACAACAATAGCCCCAGGATGGCAAGCATACCTCTGCTGCTTGACTTGTTATCTTTCATGAGAAAGACTAAAAAAAAACATGCTGAAAGCTTCAAAAAGAAGACTTAAATAAAGACAAAAACGAACATGCTTCTAAACATTTAACCTCACTCAGAACTAAAACATAGTTTTATAGAATTCATGCAGACACTGACCTCATCCTGCCATGGAGGCCAAAACTGTCTGTTTTCTTTCAGTTCAGACCGAGAGCAACAGCTCGCTCCGCACACTGTGAATCAATCACAACCATAACTAACACAAACGCTGAGGATTCTGTTAAAAAGTAAAGTTTAATTTAATTTATGATACATGATGTATCTGTTCTAAAATCCAGTAGGTTTTTACATGGAGTCCCTGAGAACGCAACCATCTGCTTCCTGGGTTTAAATCCAACACTCATTGACATCCACAAGGTCATCCAGACAGCTGACTGCTTCCCACACCATGTCGCTGTGTTTGTTCTGGTCGTCAGCTCATGCTCCAGCTTCAGAGCATCTCTCTGGTTCACTCAAAAACCCAGAGTTGTAGAAAAACAACAGAGTAAATAAGAAAATCTGACAAAGAAGAGGGATGATTTCTAATTTTGTGTAACAGTTGAGGGAAAATTTCCATTTTATTAAAATAAAGATAAAAAAGAGACAAAGCCTCACATTTGGATGCTTTTATTATTTTATAATTAGATTTTTTTCAGTGTTTTGTGTGAAAGTATGAGGGTTAAATGGGACCCAGCAGGCTCTAGAGAAGGGAACCCTGTTTTTGGGTTAATGTGTAATCTTGGTGGAGCTAATCTCGATAGAGCTGGTAGGAGGGTGGTGTATAGCCCAGGTGTTGCTTCTCAGTCCATTTATGTCCCTCGTAGTCTGATGGACCTCATCTCCGTCCACATCCATAAGATCTCCACTCCTGGACAACTGCAGGTTTGAGCTCAAGATTTGAATTTCAGTAAATTTGCATCAGATCTTGTCAATAAAACAAAACGTTTTACTTCCTCAGGTGGAAATGCATCAGAAATGTCTCCGTCCCCCAGGCTCAGTAACTGGAATCTGTCCCTGCAGAGTGAAAATGTGCAGGGTCCGACTGGTTACTGCACCCAGGGGTCAGGCCGATCTCCACAGGACACAACTTCTTCAATGCAAACGAAATCAGACGAACCCGAATGAACAAAATCTCAGTGTTGTCTGCTGAAATGCTACAAGACCTGATTATCTCCTGATTTAGCAAAGAGGAAAGGATTCAGCAGCAGGGAAAGTTTGTATTTAGTTTAGTTTCAGGCTTGATTTATAGAAGTCAGGTTTAGACTGATGTCAGTCTAATGAATTCACCAAAATGGGTTTTCTGTAACTAAACTAAGGACTAAAGTATGAGGAAATGTTTTTTTTTTTTCTGTTTTGTCAGATCTGTATTCTGCATCTCCGTCGGACCACTAGGTGGAGGAAGAAGACCAAATATGTAGCTGAAGAGGACGATTAACAACAAAGTTAAAGTTACCAGGAAACACAAACGCGCCTATAGCCAGGCATCTCACGCTGCTGCTCATAACACTTTACCGAGCTGGGGCGTTTAGAGCAAAAGTCACCGGGGGTGACAAAGGTCAGAGCCTGAAAACAGCCTCCAACAGATGAAAAACAGTAAACAACACAAGCATGTGTGTGTGTGTGTATGTGTGTGTGTGTGTGTGTGTGTGCTTTTGTTCCCTGCTATGAAGTTGAGCATATATTTAACCACCAACGGTGTTCTTTTCATGCCCTGCATTTACCGTGGTAACACCGTCACACGTCACGATCTAAGAACTTGTGACCGTGTGAGAAACGCGCCTCACCTTCTACATGTAAGTCACACTTCAGAGATTCCTGAGATCTATATTAGGACCTGTCTCACGCAGGCCTCTTGTCACATTCAAATGCTGCAGTCATTTTCTGGATTCCCTGAAAGCTGCTGATTTGTGGGGAAGCTCTGCTCACAGCTGTTGGGTTTGCATCAACGCTGCAGCTGTGGCAAATATTTATCCTGCTTGTTGTCGATTCTTTAAACAGCTGCAGCAGTTTGAGATCAGCGGGTTAAAGAGAGGGTGCTAGACGAAGCGTCAGTCAACAAAGACTTCTGGTTTTCATTAAGCACCAAGAAAATTAATGCCAAATTTACTTATAGATCCTGCAGAAGCCAAACGGAGCACATTAAACCAAAGACAGCTTTTCTGATTGTTTTCCTCACAGAAACAGAAGAGCAGCTATGACATGCTTTCTAGATCTGACTTTTAGGCAGAGTGAAGGTTCATGAAAAGGCTAAACAAGAAAGACACCAGGCTCTCTTCACACTCACAACTGAGATCAATTTAGAATATGTAAAAAATTTCTGCACGCAGGATCTGGATCAGTACGGAGAACTTGGTGAAATGCACAACTCCTTAGGACCTCTCTGTTGTTGATAAATTACATGAAAATGTTTTTGGGGGATGCCAGAGAAGGAGAAACAGCCGGCTGCTACCACTTAAGGACAAACAGGGGGGCTGCCAGAGATTTTGGGCCCCATGAAAAATATCAAGTTGGGCCCCGTGGCGGCTCTTCCATAGGGGGAGCTGGGGCTCCGCCCTCCCAGATGCGAAGGGAGAACAAATATATATAATATATATACTTTATATTAGTGTTTCAGTTTTGCTTAATTATGTAAGCATTCATACTTATTTACACATCATTTTCACCAGCTGTCCGTCACAAAACAGTGAATTTCTATCAGCAGAATTAATAATATCACTCATCATCTGAGCCGCCCCATGCTCTCCCTTCTCCCTTTACTTCCACTTTTTGTCCCGACCAAACCTGACATCGGGAGGGTCAAGGCTCTACATAATGCAAATGATATATGTGTTACAATCTAGGCTTCCATTTGTGATAAAATCATCATCAAAGTTACAACAGTCTTTAAAATTAATGCACAACAGGAAAAATGCAGCGCAAACTCCTGCAGGATAATAGCTGTATTTGTCCATCAACACTAGATTTCAGATTTTATTGTTTCATTGTTATCATATTAAGTTTATTTATTACAATTATTAAGAGATTGTTTCATTGTTGCTCTCTGATGAAAATCACTGTGATTTTTGGTTTGTGTTCTAAAAGCAAATTACACCTTGTAAACCCTCCCCTAGTTCATTTCCAGGTATTTAGTAGAAGGTTTTTTTTTCCTTGTACAGGTCCTTCTCAAAAAATTTGCATATTGTGATGAAGTTCATTATTTTCTGTAAAGTACTGATAAACAGACTTTCATATATATTAGATTCATTACACACAACTGAAGTAGTTCAAGCCTTTTATTGTTTATAATATTGATGATTTTGGCATACAGCTCATGAAAACCCAAAATTCCTATCTCAAAAAATTAGCATATCATGAAAAGGTTCTCTAAACGAGCTATTAACCTAATCATCTAAATCAACTAATTCTAAACACCTGCAAAATATTCCTGAGGCTTTTAAAAACTCCCAGCCTGGCTCATTACTCAAAACCGCAATCATGGGTCTGCCAACCTGACTGCTGTCCAGAAGGCCATCATTGACACCCTCAAGCAAGAGGGTAAGACACAGAAAGAAATTTCTGAACGAATAGGCTGTTCCCAGAGTACTGTATCAAGGTACCTCAGTGGGAAGTCTGTGGGAAGGAAAAAGTGTGGCAGAAAAGAAAACGCTGCACAACGAGAAGAGGTGACCGGACCCTGAGGAAGATTGCAGAGAAGGACCGATTCCAGACCTTGGGGGACCTGCGGAAGCAGTGGACTGAGTCTGGAGTAGAAACATTCAGAGCCACCGTGTGCAGGCGTGTGCAGGAAATGGGCTACAGGTGCCGCATTCCCCAGGTCAAGCCACTTTTGAACTAGAAACAGCAGCATAAGCGCCTGACCTGGGCTACAGAGAAGCAGCACTGGACTGTTGCTCAGTGGTCCAAAGTACTTTTTCAGATAAAAGCAAATCTTGCATGTCATTCGGAAATCAAGGTGCCAGAGTCTGGAGGGAGACTGGGCAGAGGGAAATGCCAAAATGCCTGAAGTCCAGTGCCAAGTATGCACAGTCAGTGATGGTCTGGGTTGCCATGTCAGCTGCTGGTGTTGGTCCACTGTGTTTTATCAAGGGCAGGGCCAATGCGGCTAGCTATCAGGAGATTTTGGAGCACTTCATGCTTCCATCTGCTGAAAAGCTTTATGGAGATGAAGATTTCATTTTTCAGCACGACCTGGCACCTGCTCACAGTGCCAAAACCACTGGTAAATGTTTACTGACCATGGTATTACTGTGCTCAATTGGCCTGCCAACTCTCCTGACCTGAACCCCATAGAGAATTTGTGGGATATTGTGAAGAGGAAGTTGAGAGATGCAAGACCCAACACTCTGGATGAGCTTAAGGCAGCTATCGAAGCATCCTGGGCCTCCATAACACCTCAGCAGTGCCACAGGCTGATTGCCTCCATGCCACGCCGTATTGAAGCAGTCATTTCTGCAAAAGGATTCCCGACCAAGTATTGAGTGCATAACTGAACATAATTATTTAACGGTTGACTTTTTTTTGTATTAAAATCACTTTTCTTTTATTGGTCAGATGAAATATGCTCATTTTTTGAGATAGGAGTTTTGGGTTTTCATGAGCTGTATGCCAAAATCATCAATATTAGAAACAATAAAAGGCTTCAACTACTTCAGTTGTGTGTAATGAATCTAATATATATGAAAGTCTAATGTTTATCAGTACATTACAGACAATAATGAACTTTACCACAGTATGCTAATTTTTTGAGAAGGACCTGTATGGCGCCTTCAAAAAGGCATTTCACAGTGATAGTAACAATGCTCCAACCTGCTCAGCATCCAAAACAGTCTATCAGAGGTGTGACCAAGTCCCTGCTTTGCAAGTCACAAGTCTTTCCAGTCAAGTCCAAGTGAAAGACAACCAAGTCCAAATCGAGTCCAAAGTAAATGATCTGGAAGTCCAAGTCAAGTCCAAGTCCTTAACTTTGAATTTTCAACTCATAATCAAGTCATCTGTCCAACTTCAATTTAGTGACAATAATAAATAAATTCCAGAAATAAAGCTTCGTAAAGCTTCATTTATTTGCTCAAACAAGCAGAAAGGGCAACTGAAATTGATTATAAACAAAGTGCTGCTGAATTTAGCAGTACAAGATCGAACCCAGAACGAAGAATGATTCATGATTTTTGTCCATGTCGTGTCACTTTTGTGCTAAAATATCAAATATGCTCGTCATCATCAAGTCAACAGATGCAAGTTGATTCAAGTTGCAAGTCATTGGCGTTCAAGTCTGAGTCAAGTCGTAAGTCTTTATAGATTTTATCAAGTCAGAAGTTATTAAAATAATGACTCGAGTCCAAGTCATGTGACTCGAGTCCACACCTCTGCAATCTATACATTTTTACTGATTGATTCACATAATTATCATTATGTAAAAATTGAATGGCTGCCCAAGTGACTGTCCAACATGTTGTGAAGTGGGGATTTGCCAAGGAATGAGGTAGAAACCCAACATTTTTGTTGTCAATGTTAGCATTAGCAAAGACTAAAATATTAAACGTTGCTCATTTTCACATCAAGTGAATTTAGGAGACTTGCTGGTGCCTCTTTAAATAGCTGAGGATGGTTTCCTTGGAGGAATGTGGTCTGGATAATGAGTAGTTCGTACTTTTGTGTCAGCGTAGAGCTTAGTGATGCAGACACGCCTGATAGATCAGAAACAAATCAAATTCAGTTTAGCAGCAACAAGGGGCTAAAAAATCAGCCTTCTCCCAAAACTATTAATATTGATTCTGAACCCTACATCATGTCAGAAATCCTTTTTACACATTTACAGTGTTTAATCCAAACAAGAGTGAATATGCTGAAAACTCAATAGCATACATCAAAGTTAGCTTATTTACACATGCTAGATATGTCAAGAGAAAAGTTCACATTTTCACTCAGAAAAAAAAGGAAAATTGTGTATTAAATGCATGAACAACCAGCTTAATCTCATAAAAAGCTAATAAAAAAACACAGTCAGTCTGGTTGAATCCAGATCCACAGCACATTCAGGCCTTCTGTCCAACAATAGACGCACAGGTCAGTGGAAGCGTCCAGCACTGGAGGCTCCAGCCCGTCCAGAAAACTCTAGTGCTGCCTCCTCTCCCCCCAGTGGTGCCAGCTGGTCCTAGTGAGGGGTCCACACAGCCCTGACCCTGAGTGAGGCCTTCACAACATGTCTAAAAATAACAGAAAAGTACAAGAGATGGAGTGTGTGCACACACAGCCGTGTGTCCATTTAGGATACGCCTCTGTGCATTTTTCTAGTACATGGCATCGTTATAAATGTCCGTTCGCAGGCAGAACAGGATCCCTCCACCCAACATGAAGACGGTGGCCCCCCAGCCCAACCCGTAGCCCCAGTTGAATTCATGATAGACGTGCAGAACGTTTCCGTCAATGAACTTGATGGGATAGAGGACCAGAGCGCAGGCCTGCAGAACCACTGGAACCAGAGAGAAAACCATTTAAATCATAATTTCATTCAAACTATAGAAACACAATTTCTATAATCTGTAAATGCCATTCTATTTCAATAAAGTTTTCAATAAAATTATTTTAAGTAGTTTATATAAAACCTTTTAAAAATTATATTTGTTTATGATCGGTTCCACTCTGTTTTTGAGAATACCACACTTGCAACTTCAGAGTTTCCAGGCCGCTCCCTGCTGGTGGAGGGAGCTGTGGAGCGGAATGGAGCTGGCATGTTGGAGCTGCAGTCTGCTTTTAGCATGTTTCCTGTATGTTTCAGATCATGAACACAGTTGATTTGTATGATTTAGTGATGAACTTCTGTAGAATCTGATGAAGGCTGGGGAAACGTGTCACTAGTTAGATTATGGTGATAAAAAGAGGAACACACAGGGAGGAGATAAGTCCCACTTTGACCACAGATAATAATGGACACTAGGGGATGCTAAAAGCAAGCAAAACTGCCAAGTGTGTCTTTAAAGAGCAAGTCACCCCTTACAAGAAGCGAACTCCTCTCCCACTTCATGTTTGAACAATGCAACAAATGCTGTTGCCTAGCAGACCGAGAGGGTGGAGCCACTAACAAATACACACACTCACGACAATGTGACATCATAATGTACCAGTTTACATCATAGCATACCTCTTAGCCAATAGCGGTGGCAGATTTAAATTCAAATGCAGTGAAGAATTTTTACCTGACAACGGCACAACACTGACAGTTTCAGGCAGAAAATTTAAATTTTAACTAAAATGCACTAAAGTGCTAAACTATTGACTACACGTGTCTGCAGCACGATTAGACACGCATTTATATAGTTTATCAGAAAAAAATTGTTGATTTGGGGGTGACTTGCTCTTTAAGTAAGCCCAACACCTTTTGTCCACAATTGAATTCAAAATACTTTATAAACTTTTTGGTTTCTGTATTTGCTTATTTCACCCAAACTAAAATGACGTGTTTTCAGCACTTGCATGTCTTTGAGCAGGGGTGGGGTTAGGGGTGGCTACTAGCGCTCAAGCCCCGGATGTTTTCTCAAAAGCCCCAAATTTTATTTTAACCTTTGAGGAGTAAAACAATTGTTTGAAAGTGGCATGCAGTACCAAAAAGCTGCATAGTGTAGCCTGCATACAGCCTGCTGGAGTCTCGCTCTTCAGCAGCCTGCAAGCTGGGCCCATAAACGCACCATTCTGGTGTGGCGTTGCACGAATTTTGCAACATTCGTTCCGCTTCGCTTGGTAGTAATATTGCTGTAATTATCTGTCTGAGAGACAGGCTTGGGGAGGCTGAAACATGGATGTTAGGAAGGTTTTGTTTTGTTTTTTGGACCAAAAGAACCACAAAAGATTGAAAGCAAAAGCTGGGTTGATTCAGGTTTGTGCACCTTATTTAAACCGCATCAGTAAAGTTGTTCTGGAAAGAAAATGAATGACTACAAAATAATGTTACGTAGGTTTGATGGGAATAATCCACACAAGCTGGGACAATTATCATAAAAAGGAAATGAATGAATAACAGAGAAGCTGAGTAAAGTAGAAGTATAGTTAGTACATGAAATAAATAAAAAGAATAAATTACTTAAGTATATGGACTTTATTAATTCATCATTTTAGTTCAAGTTTTTTCATACCCTCCCATTAAAGGAAAAAGAACAGTTGACAGATGTTTATATTAACAAAGTAATAGCAAATCTAAAATCATGACATTGGTTTAAAGCAGTGGTTCAACAGAAATATAAAACACAACCATGAACTTGGATTTGTTGAACAACACTTTGAGAAGACTGCAGCAGCCAAATGATTTTGAGACTCAGTCAGACGTCTGCTGACAGGTGTTTTAACCCTCAGCCCATTAGTGAAGTCTTCTCATTTCTGGGTTTTGTTTCAACTGTTTTTTTTAATAATTACAATTCAAAAGCAAAGTTTTATTTCAAGGCTCAAGAACCGTTACTTTCTCCAAGTGATCACCACTCTGATGCACACATGCACCAAAGACTTTATATACAATCATCTAGTTGTAATTATTTTACTTTCAGATGCCAGTAGTGCTTATTTATGCTATGAGTTTAACTTTTTCTTTACTTGTGTAAATGCTAGGACTGTTGCACTTTCATTGTGCTGGCAGCACATTCTGTACTTGAGCAAAGGCAGTAGAGCCTTCTAGTTAGGGATGTGTGTTGGGGAAATTCTGGCGACACGATGCGTATCACGATACAGGGGAGACGATACAGTATATCACAATATATTGCAATACATTCAGTCAGACGATATTAGCGATTTTCTAGAGACTGAATTTATTACAGGAGAATTCAATAAACAATCCAAACTGATATAACATGTTTAAGACGTTAGTTCCTTAACAGGCCCAAAACAACCCTCACACTACAGAAGAAATGGTAATAATTCCCATCAAATTAATCAGCAAACCCAGCACTACATGGCTATCTAAACAATGTTTACCATTAAATACCATTTTTACCATTTTTCGAGGAATAGGCTTCAAAATAGGCCTAGGGCTTAAGGGGCTAACATGAGGTATCTGAACCATAATAGAGGGATTTACATTTCAGTGATGGAAACAAAACTCATTGCACACTGCTAACCACTAGTGGTCGGTGTTTGAATTGCACCAACATTTCTTCCGATTCTTCCAAAAATTAGATACATGGCTTTTAACTCATCTACTGCCAGCCGTCTCCTGATCAGAAGAGCTCTTCATGGCCAGCGTTTTTACTGTTTTTTTAAGAGTCACAGAACAATGCACGCTAGGATGATGTTGACGCCCAAACTACCACAACAAAGCGGAGACTCACCTCTTACATCAGGAAGAATCAGCGCGTTTCGAGCATTATCTGTTCTTTTATAATCTGTTGTCGAATTATGATCGGCAGAAGCTTATACGGTTCGTGCCTCACTTATTTTTACAGCAGCAGCCCAAAACGATCTCCTAACACATGGATTTTCTGCTTCCTGATCACATGACGTGTGACATATGCGGAAGAAGATCGGCTTCAGAGCTGAGATGTTTGTTCTCACGGTGCGGGGGCTCATTCCGACCCCCACACAGTAAACAAATGCAAATGACGACTTTAGTCGTCATTGGCAGTGAATGAGTTAAATATCGATATAATATCACTGAAAAAAATGTCACGATATATTGCTATATCGATATTTTCATACATCCCTACTTCTAATTCTAACAATTTTTGCCTTATTATAATTTAGGTGTTCTATATTAGTTATATTTTGAGTTTCTAATAATTGCAGTTAACTTTTGTGAATTTTGTCTTTTCTTTCATAGAAGGATGTGAATACATTTAAGGATTACTGTCTAAACATGGCTCAAATCCTAATGTAAAAATCACGAGAATATTAGTTTTATAAAAGCTAATAATAAATGTATTTGAATAATCTGGTGCTTTTTGTCTGCTTTAAGATGGTCAAAAAGTTTATATATTTCTAGGGCTTCACACTATATCACAAATATATCGTTATCGCGAAATCAGCATGCACAATATGCATATCACAAAGAACAGATACATATCGTAATGAATAGTCAGCTCAAATATTTGCTACACATAATGCATTCTGTCATTGAAACGGAGGCATGATGGTTTTTTAACAAATCAAATAGAGCTCTTCACCCATTTGGCCAATTGGGTGGGCTCTCATAGGTAAGATGTCCGCCCCCGAGGCGGACGGCACTTAATTTTGATGGTGAGCAAACACCTGAGTTAGCTTTGTTCGTCTCTTTCTACTTTTCCTGGGATCCACTGTTTGCCTTTTCTTGCTCGTTTTCTTTTTCCCTTTCCTCACATCTTTTGCTTTTCTCAGTTTTATGAATTTTTTTGTCATTTTTTAATTTAATTGTTTTTTTATTATTTTTGTTCCTGAGTTAAGTTTTTAATTCATGGCAAGTAATATCATCATCACAATATTAATCACTGTTATCTCATATCGCAGGTTTTCCTAATATTGTGCAGCCCTAAATGTTTCATTAAGAAGTAGAAAATCACTTATCTAAGCCCCGGATCTTTTTCAATCCTAAATCTGTCCCTGTCTTGAGTCCTTTAAAATTATAATTAAAGCAAGAAAATGTGTCATTAACGACCAATCAAATGGTAAACAAACACATCATCAGTGCCATCTATACGACCACCATGAGGGAAAGCAATGTGGTGTGAAAACTATTATAAAAGTTAGATTTTATGTCGTAATAAATTGCAAAACAGTATTTTTGAACTTTCCTGTAGTACTTAGGTCCTCCACTAGAGGGCATGTATAGAATGTGATACAGCAGATTTCTGAGGAATGTACTAATTCTCACAACACATGATCACAGCATGCCCTATATGTTATAAACTGTAAGTCGCTTTGGATAAAAGCGTCTGCCAAATAAATAAACATAAACAAACATAATTCTGTTAGAGGTAGAGCTCTTCAAAACATGTTAATGATTAATATAAGCTGACAATTATAAAAGCAACTACAACACACGTTTATCCTTTACTAACAGGCGTTTCTGTGCTCATTCAACCAGTCATTCACGCCTTCAGTCTCCAGTCAGCCTAACAGGCTTGTTCTTGATCTGTGGGAGGACATCAGAAAAAGCCCCAGCATGCATGGAGAGAACATACCAACTCCACACAGAAAAGGTCTCAGCTGTGGTTCATACCTGCAACCAGAGCCGGATTAACGCAAAGGCAAAGTAGGCACGTGCCTAGGGCCTGATTGGCTGGATGGGGCCCAGACAGAGGAACAAAATTATAAATAAATAAATTAAAAATTAAATGTACACATGTCCTATGATAGAATTTGTAGCTAGGACTCCTATCTACAATTTGTTTCAATATTTATTAATTAACTAAAAATAGTGACAATGTTTATCTTAACCATAGACCGTTTCATTGGCTACGTCACATTAAACCTCTGGGGTCCACGGACGAGTACGCGTCTTTTGAACAGGTCTGATTTGGGACGCTTTAGCAGCAAGACTCCGCCTCCCTGAGTTTCGGTTTCAATTCAGCTTTCAAAGGCAGATTATAAACTACACCCCAGTTTTTAAATTTTGTTAATAGGCAACGTAAAAGCGGAGCTATACTAAACAAAAAAATGACCTATTTTTAGACAATCTGATAACTTGTCAAAACAGCGGTTTAGTAATCTGTGAGTGGGAATGTGCTTGTGAACATTAAAAACCCACAAAAACACGAGATCCTTTTGCTGTTGGTGGACGTCTCACATATTCAGCTGATAAAAAGTATCACACGAGTAACGAGATGTGCGCAAAAAGGAGCCGCTTCGCGGGGAAAGGAGTGGCGCGAACGGAGTAACAAACAATTAGACAGATATTGACGGTAAACTTTGTATTTTGGAGCAATCCGGACAGATATCTTGTCTCTGCAGTTTAGTAGGCTTTTATTAGGCTTTAATAAAGGATGATGAGAAGGATAAATGTCCACCAGGCAGTTCAGATAGTACGGCTGTTTTTTGAACTGGAAGCAGAGGAAGTGGGCGGAGACTCGCAGCCGGAGTCTGAGGCAAATAGCGAGGATGATGATGATGATGTGGCAGATCCATCCTTCCTCATAGAAGAGTTGGGTCATGATGAGGTAGAGGATGAAGGCAGAGATCCAGCTCCTCGGAGATCCAACAAGAGGAGTGGGCGGCGCCGCGCAGCTGTCAGATCTCGGCGTGAGACAGAGCCACTCCCCACTCCAAAATCCATGTACATTATTGCCAAATTAATAAAATAAGTATCAATTCAGATAGTCCAGGTTGTCCTGAAATTAATGATACCCCATAAGGCAATATTTATTGTTTTTATTAGAAAATACAAAAGAAAAACCAAAATGAGTCAAAAATGGTGATTTACACTCTGGATCCCAGAGAGCTAATAACTTTTTTTAATTAGTTATTTGCTATATTTAGTCATATTTTTTATAAATGTACAGTCTAGATTACCAGTCTAAATGATAAAAAACATTTGTCATAAATGTTTGTTGGTTTCACAGTAAAATAAACAACTTTTTTCCTATTCAGATTTTATGTTTTTGAGTGATTTAAGGTCTAATACGCAACCCCTTTATGTCCAAATATACAAAATAAGTATAGATTCATAAAGTCCAGGTTGTGCTGAAAAGATTGATACCACATAAGGCAGTGGTTATGGTTTTTATTTTGGAAATACAAAGGAAAACTCACTGCAAATTACACCCTGGACCCCAGAGGGTTAAGGCGCCACCGGACGTCAGAGAAGCGGTCAGGCCTCTCACCATGAGGCTACAAGGCTTCCACCTGCACCGCCATGCTGCCTGATCTCATGCTCTCCACCACTCACAATCTCTGCAAGTGACTCATACAATTTTCACCTTATTTTTCCAAACATATGAGCCAATAAATACTGCAGAGCAAACAACAGAACAGAAAAGATGAACAGTTTTTATTTTTATTTTGGAGTGGTGTTGCTGTTCTGTTGTTCTGACTTTAAAACATTCTAGAGATGTGAGGAAACAATAACTGATGGTTATTTTATTTGAACTCCCAAACACATTTAATGGTGTGTGAGTCATTTTCGTTCAGATCTTTTAAAAAGTAAAATCTTATGACCGATTTCCTTTACATGCACTCTAGGGGACTCTTGAGGAAAGCTTTTTGAGGGAAAGTGACTCCACCTTTCCTTCCTACAGGACTGAGCAGGAGCAGTGTGGGAGGAATGACGGTAGCCTGAGACTGTGGTCGTGCTGATGGACGCCAGGCTGAGCTGGCTGAGGTCATATTTCTGGAAAGAAAATAAATACCACAGTCGTCCTGCCAAGAGGTGTTTAACAATCCAGCCTGCTGCTCTGCTCGGGACTGGAAGTCTGCATGGAGACATTTTTCTTGAAGGCTCTTAAAGCAATTACACACAGGAAGGAGTATAACCCAGCATTCCCATGCGTTTGAGTAAATGAGGACCAGTCAAAGCCCGAGTCTTTGACACATGCAGCCACAGAGGCTCTTTTCAGTCACACAAGAGGAATCCTAATCTGTAGGTTGTTGGTTTGAACATATATCTGTTTTACCAACAGCAAACACCAAAGACACATGGGCCATTTCTCAATACTCAAGAACACTAGTACATTCTTGTGTACTAGACAAGTATGTTCTTGGCAAGGTCACCAGAAAGTCTGTTCTACCGAGTACGGGAGGACGAGGACGGCATTTGGAACAGAACCGTACTCCGCTGTCTCCTGGGCTGGCAACAAGCTCTGCTTTTTGCTAAAGTAAAAAAAAAAACAACTTGACATAAAAATAAATGTCTAGTTTGTTCCTTAAATAACAAAATAACAACAAAAACATATAATTTGTATTATAGTTGGTCCACTTTTGTTCAAAACTATTACAATACTAGAATTTCCCGCTCTTTACTGAATAAAAAAAGTTTATTTTTCATCAGAACGAAGCTACTGTGCTTTTATTTTGATAGTGGGTTAGTTAATTAGCATTTTGAAGGATCGTAAAGAGTAAAACCGATGAGTAAAACCCAAACACACACAGCAACATTTACAGGTTACACACGATTATTTACAATAACAGACAACTTTATATTATTTTATTTATTTTTCTAATATAAAACAATGTAGGAGTTGGCAGATGGATGAAGGATCAGAGGAGGTATTCATCACCAAAAACAGCACTTTATTCTCAACTCAACTCCTAACTGCTATATCTCCTTGACAACTGGTCTTCACAATAAAAGCATGTACTTCCATTTTCTTTGGTAGTAGAATATGCCCTTCTGATTAACACATCAACCAAACACCACAACATTACAGTTTTAGCTTTCTCGTCTGACGTTCAGAGGTTAATGGTTTGTGGCACAATGCATTATGGGAAACTTTGCTGTCCCAAGTTTGCAGAAGGATGCATTGATGCATCCACAATACAATGGGCGGAGCAAGAACACATACGGGATCTTTGAGCAAACTTGCTGTTATGCATACTTAGGATTGGAACAGTCCTTGGGCCATCGTTGATGAAGTATGTGAGTACACAAGTACAGACAATTATGAAGAGTGAGAAATGGCCATGGTTTCAAAATGTTATGACTAATTAGAAAAGGTATACCTGGTGAATGTTATGGAAGATGATTAGGACCAATGAAAAGAAAAAAGAAAAAAATAATTCCTTTAATCCCAGAAATTTTCATTCTGAGGAAAAAGTCAAAATTTTGAGAATAAAGTTAGAAATCTTTTTTTTCAGTGGCCCTTCTGTAGTATATGAATAAATGTAATGTAATATTTTACTGATCATTTGTCTGTTTATCATCTGATCCACAATGTAAGAAATGAAATGTTGAATTAACTTAACCAAGTTATGTCAGCTGGTTCCACTAAACCCAGTTGCTTAGATGTAAAGTAAACATTGTTATGTTAAGTTTAAAAGTATTTTCACTCTTTACATAGGTTTAGTGGAACCAGTTAACATAACTTGGTTGAGTTAATTCAATATTTTGTAATCTACGTAGCAGCTTTTACAAAGAGAATATTGCATTTTTCTGTACGACAAGACTTATTCTGCAAAGCAAAAGGAAAATCAAACCACAACAGGAATTACTTTATTTCACTTTAAAGGGGAACTAGGCAGTTTTGGCTTGCTTTTAACACCTCGTAGTGTCCGTATGTGGAATTGAATGCAAAACTTCTCTCCTCGCTGTGCGTTCGTCTTTTTAACACCTTAATCTAACGGCTGAAATGTCTCCCAGCCTTCATTAGCGTCTACAGGAGTTAGTGACTAAATTAAACAAATCAGCTGTGTTCATGATCTCAAACATGCAGGAAATGTGCTGGGAGCAGACTGAAGCTCCAGGTATGTCAGCTCAGTTTCCCAGCAAGGCGGCCGCCAGTCTGAAGTTGCAAGTGGAATATTCTGGCAACAGGGGGCGATAAGAGCTGGGGGGCCTTTCATTAACCCTGTAGGGTCATTTTAGCACAAACTGGCTCAAGAACATGATTTAAAAAAGTTGCAGTTTCCTTATAAAGAGCAGAAGTGGTGCTCTCTGTTACTAAAGACCTTCGATTTCCAATGTGGTCTGCTACATGGAAACATGTTAAAACATCATATATAGATTTTTCACCTAAAAACCTCAAACATTCTTTTTTATTTTAGATGCTTTTTCTTGATGGAGACTTTTCCTAAAGGCATGAAGTCAATCAGAAGTACTTATTTCTGACAAACAGGACATTGGTTTTGTTATTGTTAACTTAAAGGGAGCATGAACTCCGACTTAAGAGTTGCGCGCGCGCGCACACACACACACACACACACAGTTAGACTCTGGTTTGGCTGGAGCAGCCATCCAACCACAGGCATAGCTGTAGTGAGGAGGACTCTGGTGGGTTTCTTCCCCTCGCTGACTCCATTTCAATTGTTAGATTTCAAATTCTGCGGCTCAAGGACCAGCAGCTCCCAGACCCCTCCCCTTCTTTAAAATGCCTGTATGAAAACTGTAGACCAAGCGCTCATCCATGAAAAGCTGGAACTCTGGCTGCTTCAGTAAAGGAGACGTACCTGCAGTGAAGAGGAAGACCGCTACAATGCGGTAGTGTTGCCTCTGCGGCCCCCAGCAGAGGGAAATCAGGGACACCAAAAAGGCCACCAGCGTAGCGACGGCACCGGCCCCCAGCAGCACCAGGGTGGCAATCTGCCAATCTGCAGGACAGGACACAGGCAGGTTAACGACGAGCATCGCCACTCGACAACAAAACCATTATTCATGGGACAACACGGCTGAACTGATGACAAACACAAAACAAGTGGTAATGCTACATGGGGACGTGAACGGACCAACGTGGGTTTTATCAGAACCACAAACAACCGTGAGTGCTTAAAATTAAAGCCTGAATGCAGCAAGACTAGGTCTTAAACAAGCTTCAGGCTTATAAACTACACAGTGACTCATGTAAATGTTTTATAAACATATTAAATCTGTGGTTCAGTGGTGTGAAATCAGAGTGAAACCTGATCTGAGGTCCTTTCTGCAGAGCTGAGAGAGGTTGTTGTGGTTGAGTTCAGCTGTGCAGTCAGGGTGAACGGCCCCCAATCACACAGGTAAACAACACGCCACTGGGAATGAAATCCACAGGTTTCTGAGGAAGTGGGAGACGATCACAACCACCTTCAACATTCCTCCAAAGAAAAGGGAAAAAAGCTGAGAGAAAATCCTGATTCTGTAACTGACAGTGATGATTTTCATCCAGAACAAATGTGTAAAACTTCAACAGGGCTGCAGCATCATTTTCCTCATATTAACCTTTTCTTTACATTTCATCTTTAGCTTCATCACTCTGGATAGTAAGCTCTGGGAGACAAGTAAAAACAAAGGTTTTAAAAATATCTCATTTCAAAATGTCTAATCAAATACCTACCTTCCATCCTTCCTTCCTTCCTTCCTCCCAATTTCAAAATTTAAATGTTTTTTTTGTACCGCTCCAATTCAAATTGTCTGACCTCTGGACTAAAATAGGCCGGACCAATCGTGTGTCAGTACCAGTGGCGGTTTTACCATTAGGCATTGGTCGGTGGCCGCCTGGGGCCCACTTATGTTTTCCAGGTGTGCATGATAAATGTCATTTGAGTTACTGTGATTGGCTAAAGACAAAATATGCTAGCCAATGCCAGCCGAGCACTACCTTGCACGTCCTCCAATCAGCTCAAAGTATTCCACCAGATAGCCCTCCCTCTTTCCGACGGTTTCTGCTTTAGACATTCCTGATCGAAAGGTGTAGACTCGACATGGGGCGGGGCTACACAGAAAAATCTGGCTGCTGCCAGGTTAGTATGAACCAGGGGAAGACCGATTTTTCGGTCATCCGATTGATCGGGCGATATTTGTTATTTTTTTATTAAATCTGATTTAAGTCAGGCACATTCATGGGCAGCCCGATGTTGTTACAGAATTTAATGTAAATGTATTTTTACATTCACTAATAACATCTGCATAATAAATACTCTAAATTACCTTTATTTGGGTGTCTGCCTTTAACACAGAGCAGAGCACAAAGTTAAGATTTAAGTTAGTTTATTTCACGGTTCAAAAGCTGATTCAGCTGATGTCAATAGTGACATTTTAGCATAAAAATAAAGTGGAAAATGTCTAGAAATCGGCAAAAAAATTGAAAATACATATCGGTCATCAGCTGATCACGCCTCTTTAATATCGGCATCAGTATTGGTAAGAAAAACCAATATCGGTTGACCTCTAGTATGAACGAGCTGCTGGTTTGAAACTGGTCCCATGTTTCCCCTCGAATGTTTAAAGGTTTTAGTTTATTAGGAGTTGTGACTTGGGTCTGCCAGGTCTTTTCTAGTCTATCGTTAGAGCCACAGCAACTTTAAACACATTTACTCCTAACAAGCTAAACTCTTCACATCTAGATTCTTTCCTGGCGAGACGTTAACAAAAATAGATTTGTCTCCTCAGCCCTTTAGTCCGTTCCTGTCATGCATTCAGCAGAAAACGTTTTATTTCCTCTCTTTGATGTGTCAAACCACTAAGACTCCACACAGCTGAATAATCTGCTTTAATCGCAGCTCAGAAGTCTGTTTTTGTGGGTTGAGTCTGACAGTCTCTGAGCTCCAGGTTCATCTGAAATCAGAATGAGGAGAAGAAACATCTGAGCTCAAATGAATCGAGGCTTCAGAGAACCACCTTTAGTTCATTATGTGGTTATATTATTAGTTTTAACTCACATCAAAACACTGCTCTCACATTACAGCTGTATTGATGCTGCCAAATGACGTCATGCAAAAAATAAACTGGAGCTCTGAGAAGGTGTGGATAATCGCTCTCCTTTTGCCCTTCGGCAATCTTCACCTTTGACCGCACACACACACCCCTCCACTGTTGTTTTAATGAGCCGTGGACACACTCAAAGCAGTGAGACCACCTCCCATTCACCCCGACACATTCCACAAAATCAGAGCGCGCTCCACAGGCTGAGGTTTCCCTCTTTGAATCTGGGAAAGTTTAACAGAGTGATGGCGGTAAAAAAAAAATCACACAATGGAGTCCTGTAAAAAGTTTCAAATTCTATGGCAAGCAAATTTCACAAAAAAAGACTTGTTAGGTGTGCAGGATTTTAGGGGCTCTACGATTTTGTTTTTTAAACAAATGCAGCGATTCTGGTTTAGAAGGCCGATACTGATTTCAGAGTTTAGTACACTTGACCTGTTGATACCTGTTTGGCTGATCCCTGGACATAAACTTTTACACATCTGTTGTTTTATGAATGATCTCTTAGAGATGGTGAGTCCACTGATAGGAACAATGATGGATTTGCTTTTGGTAAAAAAAAAAACGAACTTTGTTTCTGTTAAATACACAGTTGTTGATTAGTAGAATTAAATAAAGAAATGTAGTGATGCAGCTAAAACAAAACAGTGATTATAGTTGGCAAAAATCAACATGATGGTCTTAATTAGTGATCACCCAAACCGAAACTCAAAAATCCATGGCAAGCAGGAATAGAAATGACTATATTCATTTATAGTGATTTGCTAAACGCTAATTCATGCTAACAATCACATATCTTGCAGGTGAACGTTTTTACTTCAGTAATCAAAATGTTTCATATTTGTCCTTAAAAGAAGCATTCTGATGATCGTAGACGTTTGACTTTAATCAGAAAAATTGGTATTGGCAGGACTGAGCAAGAGTGAGAAGAACAAAAAAAAATCGGTATCAGACCTCAAAATCAGAATTGGTGTTGTATGCTGGAAATCTACAGATTGATTCACCTCTACATCAAACTCCCAAAGATGTGTAAGAGTGGATTTATTTTCATTTTACATTAGATTTTATTCATTTTTCTACCACAAAATATCATAATAACAACCATGAATGAAAAGTAAACAACACGTCGATCAGCTGTTTGCTCGCTGCTAAAAAAAACCTCACAAAATCAGCTCATCGGTGACAGTTTGCTTGATGGGTGGATAATCTAAAAAGAGTTCGTCACTGACTCCACGTCACTCCTCTGGTATGACAGAGCCTTGATGTTTCATGGGCTGACCAACGGGCCAATGGAAACAAATTCCACCTAGCCAGAGGTGACAGATGTTGAGAAAAAACTTACAGAAATGTGTAAGAATAATTTTATTTCATAACTTTACACTATTTTAGAAAAGAAATGCATGTTTCAATCATTTAACAGCTACTTAAGCCAGGTGAATTTTAATAGCACCTAGTCGGGAAAAACGGCTCTCCCTTGCACTGCCTCCAACATGCCTCCATCTAAAAGGCTAGGTTATCCAGAGTTATCTCTGTAGTTATGCTGCTATAGGCTTAGACTGCTGGAGGACATACTGACCACTTTCCACACTCGACTACTTTGTTCTACAATTTGCTCTTTAACTGTATTATTTCCTGCTGTTTCAGCTGTTAACTTTATTTTCTCTCTAGGTGTTTTTCTCCCCAGAAGAAGCTACAATGATGTTCTGCTGAGCTGTGGTGGCCTCATGGAGGGGGCCATCGGCTTGAACACTGCTGCTAACCACTTAAACATTCTTCCTCTCCTGATAATAACATTTTACTTTCTTTGACATTGAATGTGCTACTACTAGTTTACCCGTTTAATTATAGATTCACTAGGATAAATACAATAAAGTTTATCTCTCACCAAATAGAATATTTACTAAGAAATCACAATGTAACCATAGAAACACTACTTGATATGTTGTGTTTGTGTGTGTGTGTGTGTGTGTGTGTGTGTGTGTGTGTGTGTGTGTGTGTGTGTGTGTGTGTGTGTGTGTGTGTGTGTGTGTGTGTCTGCTCTGTCTTCTCGATCCCCAGTAAGTCATGGTGGATGGCTGCTTATGCTGAGCCAGGATCCTCCAGAGTTAAAAGGGAGTTTTCCTCTCCACTGTCGCTAAATGCTTGCTTAGTATGAGGATTGCTGATGCAATTTGCTGGGTTCCTTATACAGGAAACTTTTTACTGATTGGCTGAATGAACTGACCTGTATTGGAATGTTTACTGTGTGAGGTGCCTTGAGACGACTCTTGTCGTGATTTGGCGCTGTATAAATAAAATTGAATTGAATTGAATTAAAGCAGTAAACCTAAAACATGCTGTTTTTAGTCTAATTGATTTGAAATCAGCTGTGACTGGAATCGGTCAGTATCAGAGGAGTGACATTGTGGCATCATCAAGTCATCTCCATGTCATGTTTTTGTTCTGCTCAGCAACTGAACCAGGTTAATTCACTGTGCTGATTGAAATCACCTGGTTTAATTGCTGAACAGAACAAAAACATGACATGGAGATGACTTGATGATGCCACAATGTCACACCTCTGGTCAGTATTAATAATGACTGCCTAACCAATGATCAGGCCATCTGAAACTCTAAATAAGAATGTTTTTGTGTCCATGAGCTCAAGTCATGTAAACAATAACAAACCTTCCATGAAGACAAGAACTGCACATTGACATCGACCTCCCAAAACCACAATCGGTGCTTTTTCTAAGAACTGTTTTATCATTTTTGCCTATATGACCTTGAACCTTCAGGGCTCAGACCATCCTTGTTGTAGGATCTTAAAAATGTACACACATCATAAGAACTGCACAAAAACACAATTAGGACAATTTGAAGATTATTTAAAAAATGATAAACAGATTCCCTAAACTTTTCTCTTTTGCACAGATCCACCAGAGCAACAACAGGTCACATGAACATCTCCCAACCTCCAAGGACACAAAGTTAAAAACAACTCGAGCTCCTACCAGATGTGAGGGTGGAGAAGCAGCTCCAGTGCGCCTCCTCTGTGGGATGTGGAGACTTGCGCTGGGAGCACGACTCCCACAGGGACAGGGAGAAATGTTCGGCGGTGACCCAGGCGGGGCTGAGCAGAGCCACCAAGTCCAGAACCAGAGCCAGGAAGACGCAGAGCAGCGCGATCAGCTTGAAGGGTCGGAACACGCACACCTCGTTCACGGACATCTTCTCCTTCATTAACTGGCAGCAGAAGCGTCCTCCTCCACCAGAATCCTCACTGCTTTGTCTGGGCAGCCCAGCTGGGAGAGTGGACCGGGACACGTCCGGATGGGGCGAATTTTCAAAATAAGGGCTGAGATACTTGTCACATTTGAAATAAACTCACGTGTTGATCACGTCTTGATTACTTTTTAGAAAAAACAATAGTATACCTAACGAATGCCGGTATGGTTTTAGAGCAAAAAGAGCAACAACACTTGCATTGTTAGATTCTGTAGAAGAAATAACAAGCTCACTAGACAATAAAATGCACACTATTGGAATATTTTTCGATCTACAGAAAGCGTTTGATACCATCAATCATGATATTTTATTAAGAAAATTAGAACGTTATGGTAGAGGAAAGGCTTTAGATTGGATTAAAAGTTATTTGAGCAAGCGAAGGCAGTTTGTGAAATTGGGAAATTATTGTGGTGTTCCACAGGGGGCAGTGTTGGGTCCAAAATTGTTTCTTATTTATATTAATGATTTATGTAAAGTGTCAGTAGCAGTAAAACTGGTGTTGTTTGCCGATTACACAAATATTTTCTGCTCAGACAGTGATCTTTAGTTGTTAGTGCAGGAGATAAGTAAGGAATTAGAAAAGATCAAATTATGGTTTGATACAAACAAATTATCATTACATTTAAAGAAAACAAAATTAATGATGTCTGGAATTGGTCTAAACAATTTGAAAATTAAAGATTAAATAGGTGGAGTGAATATTGAAAATGTGAAGGAAATAAAATTATTAGAAGTTCTAATTGATAGTGAAGTGAACTGGAAACCTCACATTAGCCAGATAAGGAGCAAGGTGTCCAGGACTATAGCAAGAATCAGTAGAGCAAGGCAAGTTTTAAATCAGAAGTCTCTACGTATGCTCCACTGTTCATTGGTCTTGCCATACTTCACATATTGTGCAGAAGTCTGGGGAAATAATTATGCAACATCAGTGCAGCCACTTGTTATTTTACAGAAGAGAGCTTTAAGGATCATTCGCAGGCTTTACAGCTCATACAATACACTTTTTTGGAGTCCAAAATATTAAAATTTAAAGATCTGGTGGATCTAGACTGTTCAAATTTCATTTAGGGCAAAGTGTAATGACTTACTTCTTGATGTTCAAAAAATATTTACTCAGAGGGAAGGAGGGTACGTGTTGCGAGGAAAACAAAATGTTATATTACCAATGGCACATAGTAGGAAGAAGAGTTTTTGTGCTTCTGTACATGGGATGAAATTGTGGAATAACTTAAATATAAAGCGGAATGTATAAATATAAAACAATTCAAGGAGAGATTTAAAGAAATTATTTTTTGCGTTATAAAAATGAAGGGCACTGAAGTGGAAATGTAAAGTTAACGAGGATGCACGACTGGGAGAAATTTCTGTTGGAAAATTTTGTTCCTAATACTTTGGAAATGCTATTGCCAACTTGTCACAATTTTGTATAAATAAATATGTTTTTGGTTTTGTAAAATGTATGGATATGTGCTGCAATTTTATATTAGAATTTGAAAGGGGGTTGGAAGTAATAAGTGTTAAACTTCAGCCCACTCCATTTCAAGCAGCAGTGACTATAAAATGTCGTATGTTTTCTTTTCTTACATAATGTTTTATGTTCGATATATTGTGCATTGTTTTTCTTTCTTTTTGTGTGCTTGAAACAAATTGATATTGATTGTAAATGAAATAAAAACAACTTACATTATATATGTATATGGAACTTACATTGCCATGCGATGGACTGGCTCCCTGTCCAGGGTGTGCCCCCGCCTGATTGCCCGTTGACCGCTGGAGATAGGCACCAGCGCCGCCCCCCCCCCCCCCCCCCCCGCGAGCGGGTTCAGAAAATGGATGGATGGATGGAACTTATATGTATACACACACACACACACACACATATATATATATTATATAAGTTATATATATACTTATATAATGTCAGTTTTTTTCATTTATTATATAAACATAAAATTCTATAATATATGTATTATTATATTATATATTTTTTATACAATTATATGATATAATTATATATAATATAATATTTAAAATTATAATAAATATACAGTGTGTGTGTGTGTGTGTGTGTGTGTGTGTGTGTGTGTGTGTGTGTGTGTGTGTGTGTGTGTGTGTGTGTGTGTGTGTGTGTGTGTGTGTGTGTGTGTGTGTGTGTGTGTGTGTGTGTGTGTGTGTGTGTGTGTGTGTGTAAAATGAAAAAGGCCCAGCAGAGGAAGTACTTCCTGAGGCAGCTGCATAAATTACAACCTGCCAGAACAGTTGAGGCAGTTGCAGTCATTTGGTCCATCCTCACCTCCTCAATCACCGTGTGGTATGCTGGAGCTGCACCAGGGACAAGAAGAGGCTGCAGTGTTGTATGCTCTGCTGTGAAGAACATTGGCTGCAAACTCCCCTCCATACAGGACCTGTATACCAGGACATCAGTCCTGCATGTCGGATCACAGCTGACCCGAGTCAACCCGGACACAGACTCTTTTTGCTTGCTCCTATCTGGCAGGAGGCTCAGATCCATTCAGACCAGAACCTCTCGCCAAGAACAGTTTCTTCCCCTCTGCTGCCAGACTCAAAAATGACAATCCTAGGTCTGCCCACTCCAGTCGCTTGGTTTCAGTCACATGTGTTGTGTTTGTACCTGATCCTCTCTGATCAGTACCTACACGGTATTGTATATAGCAGCCGTTTCTCTAATTAGTACCAAAAATAAAAAGCAGACCAGTGAACCAAACTTATTTAGATTTTTCACATTTTTCCTTCCTCAATTTCTTTCTTTTTTCTTTTTTCTATCTCTCTTTTTTGACAATGATAGTTAAATGCGCTCACATGAAAAAGCATTCATCAAAAATGTTGCACATGAACACATTTTTATAAATAAATAAACTGGATAGAAAATAAAGAAAGACACGTTTCCACCCTCTTTGACCAAAGACAGATTAAAGGTCATGAATCAAATGTCCTGTAGATGTTGTAATGCCATCATTGTCCAGCAGAGGGCAAACACGTTCAACATTTCAATTCTAACACAAAAAGTCAAAACTTCTTATTTTTCTGTTCCTGTGTTATTTAACATTTGTTATAAATGCACACAGAAATCTGCTGCGTGGTGAGAAATTATTGTGACATTTCAGGAGAATGAGGCTGTCTGTTAGCTTTCTGCTCTTTTCTCTCAGAGACAGTGTGTAGCCTAAGCTCTGTCATATTTTTACCCACTTTAGTAAATAAACCTGAATAAAAGTTGGTTTAAATATGATCCACAAAAGCTGCAGATTAAAAAAACAATAAAAATCTTTTAAACTAAACATCAGGCTGGATTTGGTCTACTTTGGTCTACTATTGTCATCTGCTGGTAAGAATATATAAATATATATTTATAATCAGAGGAGGATTGAAATCATTGTTAAACATTTAAAAAAATGTCCAGGTTCTGATAAATCCGAATGACTATACATTCATAAAGTATCAGGATACAGAAATGTAGATAAATGTCCATCGTTTAATATGCACAATATTTTAGCTTTTCATGATAAATTTTGGATTAAAAAATGATGTTATAATAAAACAATTTTGGTACAAACACACAAACATAATCATTCTGTACATCATAGCAGAAATTCAGACTTGGATGTTTCAACTTTACATCAGAACCAAAAATGAAGGAAAACCAATTATTTTAACTTCTTTGCACCTTAAGTGTAATATTTATAGCACGACTCGGGTTGCGAATGACCACAGTCACCAATTCTTGTCATGTCTGATCTCTGAATTGTGTGAACTGAAACTCTAATTTCCCTCTGGGACAAATAAAGCTTTCTGATTCTGATTCTTATATTAGTAATGTGAATATTAATCTTTTTGCTTTCGAAAGAAAAAACAGTTTCTGTATAGACCTGTCTACGTTAGGGTGTGAAATTTAAAAAAAAATTTGTCTAAAATGTAAATGTTTTATTAATCAGCTGCATTTTTTCTCTTTTTGATTGTGTCAAATGCTGATTTCTAATTTCATGAAAATACAATATACAAAACAAAAAGCCCAGATTTTGCTGAAATACTTCCAGGTTTCTTTTCACGCTGCAAAAACAAAGAGTCTGAGTCCTGCAGCCTTCATGTTGTGCCTTTTTCTTTTTTTTAATTCCTCCCCTATCATTTGGAGTCTGGATTAGAGGTTTTCAGCATATCTGACATAATGAGAGTTTCAGCCTAATGCCACCCTTCTCAGTCCTAATAGTGCTGCCAAGCTGCCAGCAGGGCATCTGAGTAGAGCGGGGTGGGGTGGGGGGGCTGGATGTGGCATTAGGCGTCTCCGTGGACAGAGCCCCCCTCCTCCCCGACAGGACAGGCAGAGTGCTCTGTCATCCTCCTCCAACAGTCCCTCATTAGAAAATCCGCAGAGCAGACAAAGCTACTTGAGACAGCGAACGGGTGACTCCCCACGCCGTGCTTTGAATGAGCAGAAAGGGGAATCCAGGTCATGTTGCACTTTTCTAGGACCCTCTCTCTCTAACTCACTGAACCGCCCTCCTGCTAAACGCCTGTTTAGACACATCAGAAACAGCTAATATTATTCAGGCTTCTGCCTACATGCAACATCCTGATTTATAAAGATTCATAGTTAAACAAATGATATAAAATATGGAATAAAGATCATTTAATAATCTGTGACAAAGCAGACGGGATGGCTTTATTGTGTCTCTGATGAAGAAAAGGCGTCTTTCCACACAAATTCCCCCCTCGTGGACGTCCTGAAGAGTCCGCCTGTGAATGAGCTTCCATGGTAACTGACAAGGTCCTGTTAAATGTTGCTGGCATCACAGCGGAGAGCTGTCGCGCTCATCTCCAACACCTCCATCACTTCACCAGGAGCCATGCTGCTCTCAGGCTGAGACAACAGATGTGTCTCTTTCAGAATAATTTCACATTAAAAGCCTCGTAGATCAGGAAGGTTAATGACTGTAATATAATTACGCTGCTCTGGCATCTACCCTAAATGTCAGGTGAAAACATTTGTTGCCAAGTTATCCAAAAACACATAAGGAGCTTTGAGAGGAAA